GAGTCCAAAATGGCGGCTGTCTCTGTCAACTCCGACATTTCGCAATAGCGGTTTACGGAGGCAGCCGAACGTTTGCTTGAACGAAAATTACATAGGGACAAATGAAAGAAAAGGAATACTTGGATTTTCACGTCATAGTTACGTTGCAATTCTGTGTCAAACTACGTTCTTCTTAAACGTCTTCTATAATTGGTTTTAGCTGGTTCTCAAAGTAGAAAAAGTGTTACTTGCATAAATACTATATGGAATTTGTAAAATGTGTTAAATATACTTTGTAATCGTCGAATTTTAGGCTACATGAACGGTTTTTTATTTCATTGAAGCTTTCACACGTATTAAATAGAACATCCCAAAGAAAAGGCGCCAAGATTAACTCGTGGAGTTAATGCAAGAAATTATGAATGGTGACTAGCCTTTTATAATTCTAAAACAAAAGCACTGTTATACAGAGGTATATACAAGAAGATTTAGAGCAGAGGTCCCAATAGCGTAATATTTAGTGCGTTCGATTTTCATGCTGGCGACTTGGATTCAATCCCCCTCGAGTGCAATAATTTTTTTTACTTTTTCATCTCGATTTTACGTTTTTTTAATGGAATCGGACGGAAGACCTCTCGTTGCTCGCAACGAGATCGTATCTAGTTATTATTATTCTTTTTTTTTCTTACCGATTTTTGTGCACGCGAGTTCTCAGAAACGGCTCTCTCGATTTTCACGAAACTTTCAGATCTGATAGATATTGATCTGAACCTTATTGGAAATTTTTTATATGTACGTCGTCACTTCCGGTCGTGAGATATGGGCGATTTACTGATTTTTAGAGCGTCAGATTGTCCGGGCAATCACTAAAAAACGAATGAAGATATTGACTTGAGATTTTCAGTGAAGGTAGAGGAAGGACTGCTAAATTGCTTTTTTGAGTCTATATCTTTCCAGCGCAAAAGGCGTTGAAGCTCGCCTGAGTTCGTTATAATTATTATTTTTCTGACCATCAAATTTTGTGCACGTGATTTCTCGAAGACTACTGCATGGATTTTTATAAGATTTGCAGGAACAATGTGTTGCTATCTGCAATTATTATATCCTGGAGATTTTTTGGAAATTTCTTTCTGGTGCCAAGTTACGGACAATTTTCTGATTTTAAATTGACATTTTGTTCGCGGATAATCTAAAGAACGGTAAAAGATATCACTGTGAAACTTTCAGGGATTATAGATCGTGATAAGTACTATCCAAGACGCGATCTTTTGTACGTCGTCTCTACTTCCTGTCGTAACGGCATGCAAAGAAAAAAAGTCAAATTTTTTAACTTTTTTGTTTTTAAATATTTTTAAATCATATTTGTATGGTTGATAGATACATTTCTCATTAGGCTGAGTATATCATTTGTTTGTAAATTGATGAATTCGAATTCGAGATATTAACATTCAAAAGTCTGAAGCGTGATCTTAATGGCGGCGGTCTCTGTCAATTCCGACATTTCGCAATAGGGGTTTACAGAGGCAGCCGAGCGTTTGTTTGAACGAAAGTAACATAAGGAGCAATGATATGTGTAGGGATACTTGGATCGTCACGTCGTAGGTTCGTTGCAATTCGGTGTCAAACTACATTTATTATCCAAGGTCTACTTACAAAGTCTTCTTTTATTGGTTTTGGTTGTTTCTCAAAGTAGAAATAGAAAAGAATTAATGTGCAAATGAAGTACAATATCTATATCTTTTGTTTTGCATCACGGTAACACATAGCTTAAATCATAGTTATAATTAATAGTTTTTCAAGAATGTAGTAAGTAAAAAACGTGACCACTGTTTTCTAATGCACACTTGTGTCATATTAAATCAATAGAAAGGACAACTGTTACAATTAGAAAATATTTTATTTTTAAAGATAACAATTTTTCAAAGACCGTTTAATTGACCTATATAAACATTTTATTTTCTCAATGTAAGTTATTGAACATAATGGAATCTTATTTCTTGACCCTCGTAGGGCGATCGAGGCATTTTTTTTCGATGAAACATACCACCTTTTTCATGAAAGTGTAAGTAATCGGAATAGTCAACTTTCGTGATTGAAAATTGAAAAATTAACCATTCATAGCTGTTTCACTGCTTTAGTATTATTTGCCTATATACGATTGATTGATTGATTGTATACAAATAACGTCCCTCTCCAGAATATTTCACTGATATGGAGACGGCACCATTGCCGGTGAAGGGCTGCAAATTTGGGCCTATGCTCGGCACTCAAGGCCATTGAACAGGGAGGGATCTTTATCCTGCCACACCTGCTGTGACACGGGGCCTCGGTCTATACCGTCTCATCCGAAGGACCATGAACATTCCAAGAGAAATTCGCTAAGATTTACTCGTTGCGTTTGGCGCGAAATTATGAATAGTGACCCTTCTTTCATAATTCCAAGACAGGTTAACTGTTGCAGAATTATATGTACATACAAGTGAAGTAAGAGTAGTTGTTCAAATAGCGTAATCGATAAGCG